TGTTTTTTTTTGATTTCTTATCTTTCTATAGTAAATTTTTGCTTCAATATTTTGCTTTGAACTGGTTTTGAATTTTATTACTGGTACTAATTAAATTTTTTTTAGGTTTACGTGAGTTAATAGTTTTGTTAAAAAGTGAGCATGTAGTTTAGTAAATTGAATATAAGCTTTTTCACATTTTATCATACTTATAAATATGTTAACTTTGACAAATATTTCTTATTACTGACTAATCGTATTTTTTTTTTAGAATTTATATATTTTTTTTTAGTTTTCTAATATACTTTTTTTCAACCTTTCACAGTTTAATATTTTGCTTTAAATTTTGTTTTGACTTTTAGGCTATATACAAATTAACATTTAATAAACAGTCTTGCAAAAAAGTAAGCATATTCTTTAATAAATACAATATAAGCCTCTTTCATATTCTATTATATTTGTGAATATTAACTTTGACGAATATTTTTGCTACTTATTATTAATATATCATTCATCACAGTTTTTTTTTTTTTTTAGAATTTATACATATGTTTTATTACCTTCTCACATACAGTACTTTCTTTTAAAACTTACAATATCTCATAGTAAAAATTTTGGTTTAAATATTTTGCCTCAAACTTTATTATAATAAAGTTTTGTTTTAGATATTTAAAATCCAATTTTACAAAACATTGACGTATATCATATGAATGACAGAATTTCACATCACCTTGAAGCTAATATTGAATTTGCTCTACCTTCCAATAAGCGTGTTATTAATCTATTGCTTGTAGTAGGATATCATATAGATAACAGAATTTTACATCACTTTAAAGCTAATATTGAATTTGCTCTACTTTCTAATGAACATATTATTAATCTATTGCTTGTAGTCAAATATATTAATAAAGCCAACATGTTTGAAGATGATGAATCTGGTATTTTCTCTGTAGTTAAAAATGTTAAAGATTATATATTTGAAGGTGATGAATTCGGTATTTTCTTTGTAGTTAAAAATGTTGAAGATTGTGTATTTGAAGGTAATAATCTTAATAAAAGTGATATGTCTAAGGGTGGTGAAACCAGTATTTCTTCTGTAATTAAAAATATTGAAAGTGAAGATTTTTTTAGAGGCAATGATCCTGAAAATAATAGTGAAAATTCAGAAAATAAGCCTAAAGACAATCCTTTGAAAAAGATATATACTAGACAAATGTTTACTTCTTTTGAAGTACTTGAGCAATATTTGAAACAGTATTCTAATTGAATAGATTTTGAAACAAAGATAGTACGAGTTGAAAAGGAAATAATATTTTTTTAAAAAAACTTATAAATGCTAATACTGGAGTAAATACTTATTTAAAAAAAAATTAGATTTTACAACTAATAAAAATTGAGTCAGCATGTATAGATTGTGATTTTTTGTTAAATGCTTCATATAAAAAATGGTCAAATCTTGTATTTGTTAATAAGTTTATTGAGAAATACAACTATGAATTAAAACACTATAAATTGCTTAAGTTTTACTATTATTACAAAAAATACCAGCACATATAAAAAAAAAAGTTAGGTTCTATATTTAAGAATATAATTTGAGTACAACAGTTTTAAAATTCAAAACCAGTTCAAAGCAAAATATTGAAGCAAAAATTTACTATAGAAAGATAAGAAATCAAAAAAAAACA